GTATAAAGATTCTCGCCTTCGGCTCGAAAAAACACTCTCTCTCGTGTTTTAAACTATACTTATAAATCTGTGTAATTGATGTCGTAAATATAGTTTATTTCATGGAAAGTGCGACGTACGGGATTTTATTCACGAGTTGTTTGCATCATACAACGATCCCTTGTTATTATAAGTAATAGCATGGCTCTGAGGGAGATTAGGGATTAAATGTCCCCGAAGCCGAGGGCAGATAAGTTGAAGTCCCGACGGCCGCATACCATGATTTCCGAGGAAAAAATTGAAGTTGAACTTGAGCGAATTTGAATTCTTGTTTTTTTTTTTTGCATGCTCCAGTGTTTTCAATCAGAAGTAATACAAACATTGCAACAGACAATTCATGCATGAATGAGGTTTTCGCAGAASAACAGTGCAAAATGATATTGGTAATCCGACTATTGTCACTGATTTCCCACAACGAACTTTTAAACAATTACTTTTCAGTTCTATTCAATGCTGAAATTAACGAGTCTTAACTTCAACCCCGAAAAGTAGTTTTTATATTTGCAAGTATAATGCCAAGAAGCTTATCAACTATTATCAAACATTGAAATTCGTCAAGTGCACATGCTCAGCGGTACGAAGTAGAGACTCGGAACCAGAGCTACTCGGTCAATTTGGCCCAAAAATCATCCCACATTTCAGCGTGTCTGAGACGATAACCAGACCGTTCATTGCAGAGGTAAAAAGAAGACAGCTGTAGGGACATTCAGTTGTCCCTACTAGGAAGCAAAGGTTTCCTTTGCTTTCCATTCCTCATGAATAACATGAGGGACGATTAGTCTAATCTTCCCTCATGTTATTATGCATGAGGGACGATTACTGGTAATCGTCCCTCATGTTATTATGCATGAGGGACGATTACCAGTAATCGTCCCTCATGCTATTCATGAGGGAGGGATGTTCGCTTCTAAACATCCCTCGGAAGACAAAAGAATCCGAGGTGATCATGGTATTATATTGGTAAATTATTTTCACTGTTTTCTCGCTCTCTTATTGGACGATTCGGTGTCACTTGTCCGGAGCTAAAGTCAACTGTTGACTGATCGGTCAACAGTTTGGCGATTGTTGACCGCTTGGCCATTGGCGGGAAAAGGCCGCCTCGCGTCGAGTAAAAGTTTGTAAAGGCGGGAATGGTTTTTGCTGCTTTCGACTGTTTACAAAATGGAGCCGGCATCAAAAAAGATTTTCAAATGTTAGTTTGGAAAACACTAACAAAGCTACAAAGACTGCTTTGGCTACGAATTTGGACAAATGTCACGCTAAATTTCTATTCATTGACTGTTTTATTCATAAAGGTTTGCTAGTTTTTTGGCATTTGTATATTTATATTAGTTTTATTTTCAAACGCTTAACATCTTGCTATTTTGTCGCGACGGTCAAATATTATATTTACAATAAAGTATTATGCATGATTTTTGAGAATCATCTTGCAATGTGTTTTGATTTTATTTATTCACATAATTTACCAATATAACAAAGCACTTAAGCGTGGATTTCACTAGGCATAAGCATAGGCATAAGCACGAAGCTCGAGAGTCATATGCGCCAGTGAGAACGGGCTCAAAATAAGAATAAGCATGAGSATGCACAAGAAAAACGAGCAAGGCTTGATCTTCTTGTGCTTATCTCATGCTTATGCTCAGTGAGAACGGAACTGCATAGGCATAAGCATAGTCTGGCACCGAAATAATACACTTGTGCGCATGCTCAATGTCTTATGCTTATGTCGAGCCCGTTCTCACTGGCGCATATGATTCTCATGCCTGTGCTTATGCTATGCTTATGCGCTAGTGAAATCCACGCTTTAATGACTGTTCCCTCGGGAAACAAAACTAACCGTTTCCATTGGGAACAGTCATTAAGTGCATATAATCGACCTCAGCTTTTGTGGAAATATTTGGATCAATAGCCGACTTGCGAATTACGCATCAATAGTCACATACAAAGGAATCAAGACGAGGCGCCGTGCGATTTTTGTGAAAAATCTATTGTCTTTAGCACGGCGCTTCGTCTCGATTCCTTTGTATGTGACTATTGATGCGTCACCCGGTTAACATGGATTAAATGGGCTCAACCCACTAGAGTAAATTTACTCTAGTGGGTTCAACCCACACCAGAATATATTCCCAGCAATCTCTTCCGTGCAAAATGACGTATTGTTATTTTCGACCAATCACGGACCATAAATCACTAAAGCGGCAAAAGTACTGTCACAGAGCAATAATACAGAGACCTTTGAAAACTGATAGATCTTGTTTTGCTTTATCACACAATCATGAAGAGAACACGGTTAAAACCTTTTACTTTCAAAGCTACATTGATCGACAAAACAGGGAAAAAAACGACAAAAAACTTCCAGCTTTCTAAAGCGAACAAGCTTACTAGTAAGGTTCCCAGACTAGAACGAGACGATCGAGAGTCAATAAGCTCTCTTGGCACCGCTGCTGTCACGTTTCCCGATATTCCATCGAATGAAGGACTGACTGGCCATGAAAAGAGACAGTTGTTTCTTAACCAGAAGTGGACAGACTACAGACAAACACTTCTTGATGCATACACGGGAGAATGCTTTATGCCAAGCGGTCAATTGTGTGTCATTTGCAAGCATGAATTGGCTTGTTTGAGGTG